CTGCCACTCGAGAGGTCAGTTCGTCAATTTTTGGACCCGGCAACATCAAGAAAAAATTTTTTTATGAATAGCGGTCGACAAAGCAGACCTACGAGTGTACTTCTGCCATAAAAAAGTAAGTGCGCCTGGGCCACACTGGAGAAGTGAAACTTACTTTACATATCTATTTTGTTTCATAACCAATATATGTACATACTCTTTGTATTTTTGTAACCGAGCGCACTTGTACACAAGGGTATTATAACTTTGTTCACATAACGGCTGTTTGTAACAACCAAAACGAATCGAGATAGATATAGACGAATGTATACCTAAATGATCAGAATGAAAAGAGAAGTTGATTACGCCATGTCTGTCTGTCCGTCCGTGTACACGATAACTCGAGCAAATGTTGAGATATCTCAACGAAATTTGGTATGTAGATTGCCCTTTACCCGAGGTAGGTTGGTAAATGGGCGAAATCGGACAGTAACCACGCCTACTTCCCATATAACGGTAATTTTCAGAAATACGAAAACTGCGATATTTTAGTAACTACTGAAGCTTATTCACTGAAAATTGGTATTTACAATGATTTTTAGACGTAAAATAAGAATATTGTAAAATTTTTAAATAATTTTAAATATGAAGTGAGCGTTAAGTAAAAGGTTACTTCAGAAAACGGCCCTAAGTATAACTGAAGCTACTATAGGAATTGTTAGAAAGGTGAAAAACTATAACCGTCATCGATTCGCCAACAGTTACCGAGTGGCGAAACGAACGAACTCAATGAGGTACAACCAAACTCGCTATCGTTCATCTTTGCTAGCTAACTTTGTTGTTGCTTTCACATGCAACATTTTTCGTTACGCGACCGTAACTCAAACATAGCAAGCAGCGAAGTGACGAATCGATGACGGCTTATATTTAATACTTGCGGCGGGTATTTTATAGGGATGTTAATTTTTCGGCTTTTTCCGATCCCAGAATTTTCGGGATGGCGTTGTCACAATCTCGGGATCCTGGGATTAGTCCAGGGATTTACATATTCATTACTTTTCAACAACTTGAATCGAAAAAATTGCTTCTATATTGTTTCAGAAGCTCTCCTACCATAAAATAAATAATAAATAAATGGGTTTGAAACCTACTTTTTTTATTTAAAGTAGCGTTTTTATTTTTTCTCTCTGATCGCAGGATTTATTTTAAAGGATNAAAGCAGACCTACGAGTGTACTTCTGCCATAAAAAAGTAAGTGCGCCTGGGCCACACTGGAGAAGTGAAACTTACTTTACATATCTATTTTGTTTCATAACCAATATATGTACATACTCTTTGTATTTTTGTAACCGAGCGCACTTGTACACAAGGGTATTATAACTTTGTTCACATAACGGCTGTTTGTAACAACCAAAACGAATCGAGATAGATATAGACGAATGTATACCTAAATGATCAGAATGAAAAGAGAAGTTGATTACGCCATGTCTGTCTGTCCGTCCGTGTACACGATAACTCGAGCAAATGTTGAGATATCTCAACGAAATTTGGTATGTAGATTGCCCTTTACCCGAGGTAGGTTGGTAAATGGGCGAAATCGGACAGTAACCACGCCTACTTCCCATATAACGGTAATTTTCAGAAATACGAAAACTGCGATATTTTAGTAACTACTGGAGATTATTCACTGAAAATTGGTATTTACAATGATTTTTAGACGTAAAATAAGAATATTGTAAAATTTTTAAATAATTTTAAATATGAAGTGAGCGTTAAGTAAAAGGTTACTTCAGAAAACGGCCCTAAGTATAACTGAAGCTACTATAGGAATTGTTAGAAAGGTGAAAAACTATAACCGTCATCGATTCGCCAACAGTTACCGAGTGGCGAAACGAACGAACTCAATGAGGTACAACCAAACTCGCTATCGTTCATCTTTGCTAGCTAACTTTGTTGTTGCTTTCACATGCAACATTTTTCGTTACGCGACCGTAACTCAAACATAGCAAGCAGCGAAGTGACGAATCGATGACGGCTTATATTTAATACTTGCGGCGGGTATTTTATAGGGATGTTAATTTTTCGGCTTTTTCCGATCCCAGAATTTTCGGGATGGCGTTGTCACAATCTCGGGATCCTGGGATTAGTCCAGGGATTTACATATTCATTACTTTTCAACAACTTGAATCGAAAAAATTGCTTCTATATTGTTTCAGAAGCTCTCCTACCATAAAATAAATAATAAATAAATGGGTTTGAAACCTACTTTTTTTATTTAAAGTAGCGTTTTTATTTTTTCTCTCTGATCGCAGGATTTATTTTAAAGGATTTTGCAATTTCAAAGATATGATTAATTCCAAAAATTATTAAAAAATTCAATGCAATGTAGAATAAAAATATGGGTAACAAATGCAATAGGAAATTTCTTTAGAACTTAAAAAATTTAAATTTTTGGGATTCACAAGGACGAATAGGTAATTTTTAAGCTGACAAAGTTAGAAGAACGAAATTGGAGGATGTTATCGAGTTTATACAAACCCTCAACATATATTTTTTTCAAAAACAAATATTGCGAAATTTTAAAGATAAAATTTTAAAATGACATTTTCAATATTTACCAGCCCATCTGCACTAGAAACTGGAATCTGCTTAAATTCTACAGGATTTCCTCTGAATTTTTTAATTCTTTTTTGAATTACTGACGTCACAGTGAAAAACTAAAAACGCAATTTTACTATATATGGTTTCGCGAATATATTGATATTTATGTTTAAAATTTACTACCGCGCGGTGTTATATGTATAATGAGCTAGACATTAATAAAAAATATTAATTATTAAATTAAAAAAGAAATATAGCCAATACTGGTCAAGAATAGGAGTTTCTATTATTGCCATCAGTGCAAATAACAAATCCCGGAAATCCCAGGATTACTTGCCAAGAATCCCGGGATTTTCGAGACCTTAAAAAGTCCGGGATCCCGGGATTAACATTCCTAGTACACATGTAATTATATTTAAAGCTGCTGAATATTTCCCCCTAAAGTTTGGCGCATAATTCCATATGTAATTGAGTATCATGTATGTATGTAGATGTGGCTTATTTAAGTTGGCGCGGGATTCCGGTGTGATCAAATAAACGAGTGAATTTTCCAGCAAAGTTACATTCTTCTTACTTATTATCAAATTAAGGAAGTCCGTGTCTTGGCAATCAAAAGACACTTAATTTAATTAGTACACTCAGCTTAGAGAAACAGACACATGCATACATACATATACATATACATACGTATGAATTTTTGTAAATATACAAATACATATACGTATGTACCAAGGCACATTAATCAGGTAGTATCAGTAGAGCAAAAACAACATTTGCGTGTATTTTGTTGTTGCTTCTGGTATCGAAAGTGTCAAAAACTGTTCTGAATTTTTTCTTCTAAATCAAAGCGTGCCATGTGAAATACAAAAAATTATAAAAAATAAAAAATTGAAATTGGAAAAAATAAAAATTGTTGCAACTTTCTTTCCTAGTAAATTTGTTTGCTTCTCGAAGCATTGATCCATCCTTTACAAGGGCCAGTAATCAGCGGTTGTGCTGCTGAGTTGGGCGAACGTTCCAAAAGCTGCTATTCAATCGCTTGTTTTGTATGGAAAAAGGTTTCACATGCAAATGGATTTTAACAATTCAGAATTTTTGTGAGAAAAAATTAAAAATATTTGACATTTTCGAGACCAAATAATTTGAAAATAAATCAAATCAGCTGCTCTACTGATACTACCTGTTCAATGTACCTTGGTATGTACATTAGGGTGCATCAAGCCCTATACAAAAACGGTACTTTTTGAACCAAAATATTTCGGAAAAATATTAAGAGCTGGGCATTCAAAATACATCTTAACGTTCATACGAAATATTTTGGCGGAAATCTTAAAATTTAACGAATTTTAAATTTTCGATGGAAAAACCGCAACATTTTTTGGTGATGCATCCTAATGTCAGTATATACACTGGCGGCAGAAATAATAGACTCGCCGCACTTTAAAGAGTTTTGGCTAAATTTCTGTAGCTTATTTTATGTTTAATATTTTTTTATAAAAGCCCAGGTAATTATAAAACAAAAATGACATACATAAAAAAAGAATATTCCGACGAACAGATAACCTCCTCCTTTTTGGAAGTCGGTTAAAAATCAACGGTATTTTGTAGCAAAATGAAACTCACACTTTATTATCCTAAAATTGAATTGGCTACAAGCTTGCATAGCAAGAATTTTTATAAATATTCTGAATAAAAAGTTCGAAATTTGGTAAAAAAAAGCAGATGTATGGTTATCTTTTCAAGAACTTTCAGTAGGGTTATCTATCTAGGGTTAGGAGTGAACAAGATGCCATTTTTACTTCAGCTAAATTATCAAACCGAAATTCCGCAGCAATAAACAAAATTAACAAATTGTTTCCCTTGAAGCTGGAAAATTATTGTTGCTCCTAAAAATAGTATATGTATGTAGATGAAGAACTTCAGAAAGATGTATTTAGATATAAAACTATTTTTAAATTATGATACCGGAAAAAGGTAATTTTTTAAAACCTGCCGCGTTGCCACCTTGTGCAAAATTGAAAAATTAAGTTAATTTCACAGAAAGACTCTAAAAAGCGTCTCCTTTGCTTAGAATTTTTTTCTACCTTTATTGCTTTCAATTGATGTGTCTTCTAACAGAATTTTTCATGCACACTTTGAAGTGGCTGCCATGGAAGCGGCGACATTTAATTAATGTCACACTAAAAGTACCATTCGCTGCTTTTTTTTTAGATTCAGTTTTGCCCTCAACTCTTGCTAGGCTTATCCAATCAACAAGCATCCGCTCACTAGCTTGAGCAATAGCCGCTGACATCGTTTTTCACGCCTACATAGATGCATTACTTAATTGTCTTAACTTCTTCCTATTACACTTCTTTACTTAATTGACTGACTTTACAGCTCTCTCACTTACACACTTCCACTGCTTCTTTTATTTTCAGATATGGGCATCTTCGAGAACACCACACTTGGCCATCTCACAGTGACGTCAGGTCATCCGGCCATTTTCGATTTGCCAACCATCGAGTCACAACCGTCACCTTCGGTGATGTGGCAAACGGTTGAAGGTCCGCTGAACTATGACATCAAATATGCCGTAACAAAATCGAATCAATTGATTATACTCAGCGCCGACGAGGACGATCGTAAAGCATATCGTGCGCGTGCTATAAACACACAGCTGGGTAAGGAGGAGAATAGCGCCTTCATACAGTTGAACGTGAGCGGGGATCCGTATGTTGAGGTGGCACCCGAAATCGTTGTACATCCGCAAGACATGAAAGTGAAGCGTGGCGAGCAGGTGGCCGTGTTGGAGTGCATCGCTAATGCGCGGCCGTTGCATGAATTGGAAACATTGTGGCTAAAGGATGGTATACCCATTGAAAGTGCTGGTGTGGCGCATACACTTAACGATCCTTGGAATCGTTCGCTGTCACTGCTATCCGTTAATTTAACACATTCCGGCGAGTATACGTGTCAGGTGCGACTACGTAGCGGTGGCTATGATACGGTGACCGTTAGCGCCAAGGTGGAGGTATTGGAACCACCTACATTTTTCACACAAATGCGCACGGAAACCTTTGGTGAATTTGGTGCGCTGGTAACGCTGACGTGTGATGTTGTGGGCGATCCAATGCCAGTGGTGCGGTGGTACAAAAATGCCGAACCCATCGAAGCGAATGACGGAAAGTGAGTATTGGGCGAAAGGGATGAGGGAGGGTAAGAATATTTATATTTTACAATAAATGTCCAGTTGTAGTGGAGGAATTGAAATTGAAAATTAAGATAAATATTCTTAAATTTAATTACATTTGAGTAAAGTCCTGGCAAGTGATCCCCGAAATTAATGATAGGGACAAACATTTTTTTACAGTTAAACAAAGCTAATCGATTATTGAATATGTCTGTATAAATTTGAAATCTAGTTTTTCTATCGTGTATCCCTATTTAGAAGTGACAAGTGACGACCCCCGCAACCAGCTTACCTTGAGGGCGTTCCAAGAGATTTATCAAGGGCCTTAGACCTCTCTTTTTCAAACGTGGGCCAGATGCGACTAGCAACTCTCCAAGTTGGTTCTTCCATCCATATTTTGTTTTGACAGCTCAAGGCGGTAACTACATATGCACTAAGCCACAGTTTACAAGGTTCTAGCGGTACTTTCGCATCATAGAAAATTTTGTAGCAGAGAAGTATGAGCCTACTATTGCCAAATTCGTCTTCTGCGCATAGCACAGCTCCCTTTATACATAGCTATAGGCCGACTCTACTTGTTCTGACCTCAACATGGTCTGCCTGAAAGATGTTTTCTACCATATTTAGCATCGCGAAAGCTACAAGTTCAAATTCTGTGCACTTTCATCGCAGTAACAGACTATTTATTGTGACATTACATAGGGTTGGGAGATAATTCCGCCCTGTGGTATTCCTCATATAGCATATCAGCTAAGTGGTGATCCCCCGTCTCTGTCCATACCGTTCTTGTGCCTTGAAAAGCTCGGATAAATCCTACCGAATTTTCCGAAAGATCTGTTTGGAACAGGGGTTTAAGAATGACTTCCGGTACAGCATTACTAAAAGCGCCTTCAATGTCTAAAAAGACAACTACTTTATAATCCGCAGCTTACGAAGGTTCTGTCTTCTTTCGACTAGCAGAAAGAATGCCAGGATGTGGTCTTCGGGGAATGCTGGCTACTCTCCAGTCTCTTTGCGCTCTAACAGAGAGGAAACCTGTACTTGACCAGCGATGGATTTATTACCCGTCAAGGCTTTATGGTCTGAGTTTATGACGCATAAAGTCGCACTGGGCTGCGAGTTGTTGGGAGCCATTAGCGAGCTTACTTCGTTGGCATTGAAGCCGGCTGCTCTCGACTTTTAGGGTGGAAATGAAAGATCTATTGGCTGTTGTTTGAATACAGTCGGAGAGCGTCCTGACTGCAAAATATGCAATACCGACGGTGACGCCCTATATTAGAGGGAGAGAGTAGATTTGACCTCCTCCAGGTCTACGTCCATAGTGTTCGGCGGAAACAGGGCCCGCTATATCTATCTACCACCTTATTGTGGTATTGGCTAGAAACACAGGTTCCCCTCTATCACACCTCCTAGTGTTGTTCGACCCCCAATGATATGCTTTTCCACAAAATATCTACGACTATGCGGAAGTTTCGGAGATCAGTCGGGATGCCTTTTATCATATCGAATTGCTTGATAACAATCATAGCTAATTGTGTTCCACACATTGCATTTTCAGATACACATTTCAGGAGGACAATTCACTAATCATCAAAAAACTTACACTCGAGGATGGAGCCATGTTTCAGTGTCTCGCCAGCAATGAGGCTGGTGAAAGGAGCGCCTACACATGGCTGCGCGTTAAATGTGAGTACACCTGAAACCAAAAATACTCCAGAATTTATTGATACAAAGCAAATATGTATATTTTATATATGTATTGAAATGAATATTTAATCCAATACAGCATTGAACATAAGAATGAACTAATTCTGTATATAAATATATATGTATATATATATATAAATTTATTGCAAAACAACTGCTTTTTCGTGCTTAAACATATACTGCTTAAATACCTACATACATACATATATTTCATATTTATTTCATCTGCTCTCTCTCTCTCTCTCTTTCTCTTCCTCATACAAAACTTGCATACATATGGAAAACTCCAAAACAAATTAAAAACAAAACAAAAAAAAAACAATTAACTAACCAATTATTTTCAAACATATTTGCTTCATACTAAATGCTCGTACAATCTAAACGTCTATTCCAAACGCATTATTCGCAACGATGAAGGTTTGCCACCCAAAACACCTACACCAACTACAACCATTATTACTCATTCGAAGCATATTGAATTGCGCATGACTACAGCTAATAACAATCGACCGAATGCAATTCCGTTGCATTTTGTTGAAAAGTGTAAATCATCGTCGTCATCGTCGTCGTCGTCGTCGCCAGGATACGTGCGCAGTTTGTTGCATCGCTTCAAGCGTTTGGCACAGCCGCGTATCCTGCGTGTAAGAGCATCATCAACACATTCTGGCATGGGTACTGGCTATCGCCGCAAGGATTTTCGCTTTGGTATGGGCTATTTATCATAAATACTGTGGCACACACAAACATACATACATTGAAATATGCACATGCTTTTTATACATACAAGTTCTTATACACATACATACTTACTTTCCTTCATTCGCACGTCTAATTCAATTAACTACAATACTCATAGCAGCTTGTTCATGTTTTTTAAAACTTTTTTTTGGTTTGTTTGCTTTATTCGCCATTAATGGCAGTTTTCTATTTCACTGTAGTTTTCGTGGGGATATTGATTGCAATGTTGCATGCACTGTATTGCATAGGGAGGTTGAAAAAATTAACAATTTTGTGGTTTAATGAAATTAAAAAAGGTTACAAGCCACTTCTTTTAAATATAGCTCTTAAAAATATGTAGTTTGAATACTTACTCTATTTTTCCGAAATTGTCTTATCGAGGTATTTAGCATCAGTGTGTGATGTGTTATCACAGCAGATGGACAATGGTGGCTATAGTCCGCATTCAAAAATTTTTTTTTGATAGAAATCGATTGAGCAGCGACTGAACTACACACATTTTGTAATAAACGCGTGGTGGAAGGCCTATTTACCAAAATTTTATAAAAATCCAACATCCTGGCAAAGAAGTGATCCGTAATATGCGAGCTGTGTGGGGTTATGGTTTGATGTTGTCCAGGTTTTGTCAAGAATTCCTTAGACTTAGACTCCGCCGAACCGGAGCATAAGTTCCGTGGATGGTATATCGAGAAATATTACCATTATCGATCAATTTTTGACACATGGAGGTAAATTTAGGCATTACTTTCACATTTCTGAAGCCGAAAAAACTACATTCAAATCCGAAGAAAAGACAGACTCGAGGCTGAAATTGACGATGAATTGGATGATGTCTTGCTCGAATCTTCTTTGCAGAAATCCAACCCAAAGACTTATGACGGGCCTCAAGTAGTTCCCAATTCTGGAAGTCACAAACTCAGTTTTAATTGTAAGAAAAAAATACTGGCGAAATTGTATTCACTCCATATAGTCATATAATCTTATTTGAATTCTGTAAAGGCCAATTCATACAAGGTGTTAGCGGCAGAATAAAAATCAAATAAAACTATACTAACAAATTATACGGACGATGACAATCAGAACACAAAACATGTACAAAAAACCCATTATTTTCACAATCAGCACAATTCGCCTTGAAATCAGCTGTTTCGGTAACACCACCTTGTATGAATTCGCCTTGAATTGTGTCATAATTTTTCAAAAGATTTAAAATGTCATTTTCACAGCACAGTGATTAAGCACACATTTTTGCCGCAAGTTTTCCAACAAAATGTTAAAACGACTCCAACGCGTAACGCACGGTTTTACATTAGACAAAGCCCATTCAGGATTCTCATTTTCGTTGTTGGTGTTTCCGCCAGGGTAGGAGTGTGATGTAATGTGGAACGATTTTCCGTCATCTCTTGTCAAATTTGGTTTTGAGACAAACCGGTTTCGGCGTTGTGCCATCTTCAGTGTAATTTTTCGTTCTCGAGAAGATGGCACAACGCCGAAACCGGTTTGTCTCCAAACCAAATTTGACAAGGGATGACGGAAAATCGTTCCACATTATATCCCATTCAGAGTTCCTGCCAGACGCGAGAGTTTGCACTCAGCCAGTTAAAAAATCTACTTTGGCCAACTGCGGTTCACTTCTTACAACTTTTCATGTCGGTGTTTTCGCTTGGCGCTCGCTGATCCGACTAAAAGCCCATATTGTCCGAAATGTCTACGAGGATACAACGCCAAGCATAGCTGTAGGCGTTAGGTTAAAACTAGTCCGGAGCATCCCGCTGGATTCAAGAAAGGCAGCTCTTGCATCTTTCTAACGTTTTTCTTTGCATTCTAATACACACAAAATATTTAGCCTGATTATGGTTAAAGCCATTAATCTATTTTTGATAGGCACCACCCCTTCTTGACGGCACTTTTACACCAGTATAGAGCAACTGTCGTCTCTTTCACTCGCCACTGTATTATGCTTCCTGAATAGCGCTCTGTCTAAGATCACTCTCAATTTCTTGACCTTGTCAGAGAGCTCAAATGAAACGTCACCGAACGAGGGAAGCCGAATATTATCCACTTTATACCTCCTAGTGAACAAGATGAACTTCGAAATTCCGGATAACAAGTCTGAAGCTATATAGCATCTCAATTTGTAACTACAAAAGTTCAATAATCCTGCCTCAGATTATAAAGAGTGTGCAGAAATTTTTCGCTCCGTCAACGGTGATCCCGAGAAAGGGCGAGAAAACGGATTGCCACTACTCACCATAAGTGGGACAGAGGCAGAGACGCACTCTGCTACGACATTTTTGGTGCGAAGCATGCGGTGATAAGCCTAGCTGCAGGTTGTCCCAGACTCCGAACTTAGTTGGAGATTTTACTATCGACCTAGGTAAAAAGTCCCCCTTTATAAAGTCTGTGTTCGTAAGTTTCACTGATCTTCGATTGCTAAGAAGACAATCGATACAGAAATTAATAATTTTTCGATAACCAATGAGCAAGTAAAATCTGAGTTTTTTAAATGGGGATATCGCTACACTGGCCGATGCATTTTGTGCAATTGTACATCGCTTTTGACCATTTTTGCGCACAACTGTTTGGTGAAAGATGAGAAATTTCTTCATAGCTACCGCACCTTCACAATGCTAAACTTTAAAAGGCTTAGCGTGTAAATTATAGAAGCCCCTGAGGCGGCCATCAACTGCCTTCACATTTTGTGCTCGCATGTAAACGCTGTGTTGGCCCACTTTCAGCAAGTGGTTCATTGAATGCAAGCTAATCCTGCCCAACCCACGGGACGGCTTCTAGGCATTTCTTCATTGAAGAAAGAAGGTGCTTAAATTTCGCCGATGTGTGTGCGTGCGCGCACGTACACTTATGATCGGACGTGATGCAATTATAAACGCTACTTCACTTACAGCCTTCCGGTCATCTAAAGCATTACACATAATCTCGCCCAAATTTTAAATGATTTAAATTCACTTGCAGAAGCTTTGCGTTCACTATCTCAGCCACGCACAACGGACAAATGCGTCATTTCCTCGTCCACGGTTGCGTATGCAAATACATATATTTGAAAGCAATTGGTTAAAAACTGCTAAGAGGATGTTTGAAATCCTCTAGCTGGGCATTGTTTTATCTATTATGATTTTATTTATGTTAAGTTTGGTAGTTTTAATCACTACGGTCGCACGCTTCACACAGCCGCTATCTGAGCCATTGCGTTTTCCAAAAGGTATCTGGCCCCATATATTCTTCTTTTCCATTGAAGGAAAACCAATTCCTTGTTCTGAATTACCTAAAAAGCAAAAAACAATAATAACCACATGATCAAGTCTAAGTAGCAGCAGAATAGCTACCCTTGATTGCAGTTGGGTTGGCATATGAAGAAGAAGTGGAAAAGGCAGCAATAGTTTATAAGGCGAACTTAGCGCAGTGGGTAGGCCACTGGCTTTGTAAGCTGAGGTCGCTTTGTCGAATCCCAGTGGCGGCGATAAAGAAGTGGCCCTTGATAACACCGAAACTAAAAACTTAAGGTCTAATTTGGAGCCTTCAATGTACATAAATGGGCCCAGAGTCAGCATACAGATCCAACTCCAGGTTCCCTTCCCATTCGCGTATAGCGGAAATTTTTGCATGGATATAATTCTTTGGAGCAAGTGACGTACTGTGTAATCTGAGTACCTAAATTTTGTTCGTCTCCGAAATTTTAGTTTCCCATAAAAATCCAAGGGGTGAAAATCGAAACAAGGACCCTAGGGCTCTTACCACCGTTGGAGGTAGAGTTCCCCAATAGTGTAAAACAAAATGGAACTTCAACCATTTTTGCCCCTACATCAAATACTTGACTTCCTCCGAGAGAGTCAGCGTAATATTATTTACCGTAGTGAGCTTCAGCTGGGCAAATTGTTTTCTTAGACGCATAAGGCGGGGGGTCCTTAAAATATCAACATCTGAATTTTGTAATAGGCATCCTATATTTTATCATACGTACAAAATAAACACATGCATGAAATTTTCAGATTTTTCACTGCCAGGGTTGAAAAATTAAATTTTTTTTATTTGGCAAAAATTCGAAAAAAAATTTTACTTGGGTGCCCGGTTTCAACAAACAATTTTTAGAATTATCAGACTGTTACAATTTAAAATTGTAAAATTTTCAAACAAAATTGTGAAATTTTAAATTTTAACAGTCTGATAAATTTAAAATTGATTGATGAAACCGGGCATAAATCCGACAAATATTACATACTGGATCGCCCTCACCCGCTTCACAGAGTGAAAGTTTGAAATTTTTACGAAAGTTTGTTGAATTTTTTTTTTTTTTTAATATTGCACAAAGTTTTTCAACTCGATTTACACGGGTTTTGTTAAAGTATGAACCATATTTTTATAAAAAAACAAGTAAGAAAGTCTAAGTTCGGGCAGAGCCGAACATTAAATACCCGGCGCACGTATTAAATATATGTTTTTCGCCTTANACGGACAGACGGACAGACGGACGGACAGACAGACATGGCTTAATCGATTTCTTTTTTCATCCTGATCATTTATGTATACATTTGTCTATATCTATCTCGATTCGTTTTGGCTGTTACAAACAACCGTTATGTGAACAAAATTAATATACCCTTGTGCACAAGTGCGCTCGGGTATAAAAATAACCAAAACTAAATAACAAAAAATAAAAAAAAAATTTTGAACTTTTGCGATTTAAAAAAAGTTAAATGTTTACAAATTTCGATAGCAGCCCCGAAAAGTATTTTTAAATCTTTAAATATTTGTGGGTGTCTGTATTTTGTACGTAGAACAAAATAAAGGATGCCTCATGATGTCGATACTTTAAGGACCAGCCTAATGCATGTACATACTATGTGTATAGATATGTATCTATAAGAATATCAAATATTCGTTCTTGCAAAACACTGATTTTCATAATTACTTAAATAATACATACACAAGGAGGGAGGTATTAAAATTCT